GCTTTCCAAGCAAAGATAATGATTTATGTTTCAATTGAAATCAACCCGATCAAGCCAAATGCTCAATGCAGAATCCAATTGCCCCTCCTCCGCCTGCCTCTATTTTTGAGGCTCTGTGTGTAATTTGAGGTTTTATTTGTTTGTTTATTTTCCATGCTTGATGCTGCAGATTATTATTATTTTTGTCTGTTATTGTTTCTGTTGTTACCACTGTTCCATTTGTTACCCAGAGCAGCTTACAACCATTTTAAAATATTTTTTAAAGTCAAAAGAAATAATAATCAGAGGAATAGCCTGGGTCCTGAAAACACATGTCTGTCTTGTCAGAGGCCATGGGAAAGAGGGGGAGGTGCCTGTGTGGGGAGGGAATCCCCCAAGGGGGGGTCTGCCCCCAGGATGCCCTCTCTTGGGCCACCCCCACCCAAATCTCTCAGGGGGTTGAAACTACCAAGATGAGGACCAGGATGCTTGGCATGCGTGTCTATGGCATGGTAAAGCTAAAATACATAAGAGTTATTTGAATCATGTAGTTAGGAAGAATTTGTAGGGGACAAATATTAAAAACCTGCTTGCAAGGAAGGCACCACTTTGGCTCTCACCTGCTGAAGCAATATCCTTGAAAAGACGGAACATGGGCAACATATAGAGACTTATTGAACTTTACAAAGCAAAACAAAAAAATTCCTTCCAGTAGCACCTTAAAAACCAACTAAGTTAGTTCTTGGTATGAGCTTTCGTGTGCATGCACACTTCTTCAGATACCATGCACACGAAAGCTCATACCAAGAACTAACTTAGTTGGTCTTTAAGGTGCTACTGGAAGGAATTTTTTTGTTTTGACTATGGCAGACCAACACGGCTACCCATCTGTAACTTTACAAAGCAAGAGAGAAGAAACCTGAAGATGTTAGCTGTGCGGTGACAGACTGTTTTCACTGTTATCAACTAAATGGAATCTTTAACGTGGATAAGGAATATGGTTTCATGACTCCAAAGTTCACAATTTGAAAGGGAACTTAGAGATATTACAGAAAAAATAATAATTTGTAGAATGTATAAATTATTGTTGGAGTGGGAAACAAAGGATGAGTTGGTTAAATCCGCTATGATACCCTGGGCAAGAGATGTAGGACATAACACAGAATTGAGTGGGGGCGGGAATGTGGAAAAAGGACTAAGATGATATGAAGGTGGTACCTAGCACCAAGTAATCTAGCAAAAATGTATAGATCAGAATCAGGTCCCTGTTGGAAGCATTGAGAAATGGAAGATACATTTTATCATATGTGGTGGACATGTAAATCAGCCAAAGATTTATGGGAGATAATATATAATTAAATGAAATCAATGTTGAAAAGGGCCTTTATTAAAAGACCAGAACCATTTTATTAAGAATACTAGGAACAGGTGTTCCCACAGATCAAAAGAATCTGTTTCTCTACATACAGTAAGTACCACAGCCTGAATGCCATATGCGCCAAAATAGAAAGATGGACCAATACTAACCAAAGGAGGAATAGCAGATGAAACAGATGGAATATGTAGAATTAACAAATAGAATAAGGGAACAGGAAGATGGAGTTTTTAAAGAAGAGTGGGATTTTTTTGTAGAATATCTGAGGAATCACTGCAAACAGGTCAAAATGTCAGCAGAGTGAAAGGCGAAAGATTTATACGACCTGAAGAGAAACCAGAGTATGTTTAGATACTCATTTAGGAAAACACCAGAAGTTTTTCTATTGGGAATAGTACCAGGAAGCCTAAAGGAAGAAGATAAGACCTTATATTTATACGCAACAGTAGCAGCAAGGCTATTGATTGCGAAAAACTGGAAAAGTGGTATAATACCGACAAAAACAGAGTGGCTTGCCAAATTATTGGAGTATTACAATATATCCAAAACAATGGAAGAAATTGGAAGGATTTCAAAAGAAAAGAGAGATAGGGACTGGAAGGTGTTTAAAAGATACTTGCAAAATCATATCGAAAAATCAGAACTCCTATTAGAATAAACAAGTTCCGTTTCAAATACTGAAATATCAAATAAGATGGATAACAATGTGTAATAGAAAAAGAAGTATGAAATTAGGGTAAAGGTGTGTGAAAGAAAGTAATAGAAGTGGAAAGAAATTGTAATTGAGTAGATTGGAAGTCAAACACAAAGGTGGGGTGAGGGGTGGTGGATGGGGATGGGGAAAGGAACTATTTGTGGGATTGAGTGTAGTATGTTTGAACACTTTTAAGGATTGTATGAAATGTATGTTTGTATGCTTGTATATGTGTATTAATGATGAATTTAAAAAATAAAAAAAATTGGGGGGAAAAATGTCAGCAGAGTGAGAGTAAATTCAGCAGTTTAAAATATATGAAGATACAGTGGTACCTCCGTTTAAGAACAGCCCTGTTTATGAACTATTCGGTATACGAACTCCGCAAAAGCACAAGTAGTTTTCCGGTTTGCGAACTTTACCTCGGTCTAAGAACGGAATCCGAATGGTGGAAGGGCACAGGTGGTGGGAGGCCTCATTAGGGAAAGCGCACCTTGGTTTAAGAACGGTTTTGGTTTAAGAACGGACTTCCAGGAACGAATTAAGTTTGCAAACCGAGGTACCACTGTATAGTGAAGGGGGGGGGATAAAATATAAGGAGCAATCAGAACATGCAGTTGTAATGGATATTTAAACAGAACTGTGGAAGAGGGGAAGTCAGTGATTATTATTGTATGGTTATATGGATTGGAATGTGTAAAAATTGCAATTGAAAATGTATACAAAACTTTTTTTTTAAAAAAAGATAAGAACCAACCAAGAGGTTCTTTTGGCCAACCTTCACACCCAGGAGGGTCTGTAGGAAAGGAGGTGCCTCTTCTGATATTTGGGGCCAAAGTGAAGCACTCATATGAGCACCTTGCACTGGGCTCGGAAATGAATGGCAGCCAGTTCAGCTTTTTAAAACAGAAATTAAATGTGCTCTCAAGGGTTGTAATGAGAGGGATTCCATGAGCAGGTGTATGTCAGCTCCCTTCCTTCACTGACAGGAAATGAAAGCAGGCACAGAGAGAGAACAGATAAGGCTGGAATTCAGAGGGGAGGGAGAAGAAGCAGGGAGCAGCAGTCCCCTGATCTCTGGACACAGAGAAAAAACGAAAGAGAGAGCCAGAGGGACAGAAGGCAACTTGCCAGTTCTGATAGTGATTCAGACTCGGAGGAAGTAAGGAGGGTGGAATCGCCCCAAACTCGCAGGCTGGCCAGGATTGTACAAAAACGCGGGAAAGAGGGAAAGTAACGGTGGGGGCTTCCTTGTTGGGGAAGGAAGAGGAGGGGCCCAGTCCGGGCAACTCCATCCTCCAGCGAGGACTGAAATTGCTGAGCTCCAACTGGGGCTTGTGATGGACTAATAAATATGAAGTAAATGGCCAGTGTCGTGGTGTGTGTGTGTGTGTGTGTGTGTGTGTGAGAGAGAGAGAGAGAGAGAGAGAGAGACAACAAGCCTGACAGGGTAGACCCATGGAGGCCACCTTGAGCTCCTTGGAGAAAATATGGGATAGAAATGCCATTTATAAAGAAAGGGGACCCAGCCACTAATCTGGCCACCGCATTTTGGGCCAGTTTTCTTCAAGGGCAGTTCCACATAGAGGACATTGCAATCACCCCATGTCATCCTGAGCATGGAATACCCTGGCCACGTCATCTCTGCCCCAAGGGGACTGTGGCTGACAAAATAGCCGGAGCTGGAAATGGTCCCTTACAATCCCAGTAGGAATGTGAGCCCTTCTTGACTCACTTTTTAGTGCTTTCCTTTGGCCCTCAGGGGGTGGCTAGATAGGTAAGAAAAAGGGATCCCACCCCAGTAGTCTGCCGTGAGAACTTTGCAGGTTCCAGGTGCTAGGAAATGAGACAGAAGCAGGACGGAAATGGGCCCTGAAGTGGGGATGGGACAGAGAGCAACGTTTGAGGACCCCAGTGATGGTTGGTATCCGTCTTGTCTCAGGAGACAATGGGAGAGCGTGCCTTTGGGGGCGAGATCAAACAGCGCCAGCTGTGGCTCCAGAGGCTATAGCCTAATGTCAAAATTACACTCGTAGAAATGACTCACTTGTCAGTCACAGTTCTGACTTCATTCTTTGACTGAAAACACTGAAAGGCAGGAGCAACCAGGCAGATTCATTCAATAGAAATTCCCTATGTTTCCTCACATTTTGCATGGTAATTTCCCTTCTAGAAGGCCTAGATCTGACACCCCCAAATTTGGCCCTCCAGATGTTTTGGGACTACAATTCCCACCATGCCTGACCACTGGTCCTGCTAGCTAGGGATGATGGGTGTTGTAGTCCCAAAACATCTGGAGGGGATGTCTGGCCTAGATGCTGGCTTGTCCTTTTCCGTTTTGGAAAAAGAAAGTTCAGAGTCTGGGCTATGTTTCAGTCCAGCCCTGGTTCCCAGCAAGATTCACCCACACTTTCTCAGGAAACCTTTTTATTCTCTTGACCGTGTATCTGTTTCATAACAGAATAATATTTGCTTTTGTAGGATTTGCAAACGCCTCTACTTAGGACAGACGGAACTGAGCAGAAGAACAAGGGATTCCTTCTGACCTCTTGGAAGCTTCCTGAGAGCCCAGATGGATGAGCAAGACTCAGCTGGCCCAGAAGCAGGAAGAGGCCATGCCATCCAAACTGGGAGCAGCGGTGGAATCTGGGAAAACTCTCTGCTGAAGATCCTGGGTGAGGAGGACACCCTCCGCTCAGATGTGCAGAGCCAGCAGTTGAGGCAGTTCGGCTACCAGGAGGCCAAAGGACCTCGAGAGGTTTGCAGCCGACTCTACCACATTGCCTATCGGTGGCTGAAGCCAGAAAGGCACACGAAAGCTGAGATGCTGGACCTGGTGATCTTGGAGCAGTTCCTGGCTGTCCTTCCAGCGGAGATGGAGAGCTGGGTGAGAGAATGTGGAGCGGAGACCAGTTCCCAGGCGGTGGCCCTGGCCGAAGGATTCCTCCTGAGTCAGGCAGAGGAGAGGAAGCAGGCAGAGAGAAAGCAGGTGAGAGAAACTGTCCACTGGATATTTCCAGGGGTCACTTAACAGGAGGGAGAGTATCCCAAAATTCTCTCTTAATCCCCCAATATTTTTTGGAAAGCCTCCAAGGAATGATATCTGATATCCCTAAAGCTTTTGCCTCTCCCGTTCCTTTTCTTATCTTTCTCTCCATTCTCTGTTTTCAATCCCTGTTGTTCTTTCAGGAAACAATTATTTTTGCAGAAATGGGCCTGGATTCCTGTGAGGCAGAGAGCACTCCGTTGGTCATGAGAGAGAGGCCACTGGGTAAGGAGGAAGGAATTTTTTTCTCCATTCGGTCACATTCTGTGGATTTGGAAACTAATCAGTTGTGGGTTATTTTCATCTTTTGGGGAGGACACCTGGGTCCCAGATCTCAAATGAGGGACATGTATTTTTAAATACAACTGTCAAAATTCATTCAGTAGGTGAGACTTTTTCTAAGGCCCATCTGTAGTTAGAGGTGCACTACTTCACCTCAAAGAAAAGCATGTGCTAATGGCCTGCCACTTCCCTTTGTCTCTCACAGGTGACAGAATGATGCTGCCAAGACCTTTCCATCCATCTTTGCATGGAGGCAGAGGAGAAACATCAGCTCTGGAACCAGATCAGGTAGGGAGAAGGAGCAGTGCAGGCAAAGAGGCTATGAGGTGGGGCAGCCAGGCAGAAAACACCAGAGCAATGTGTAGTAGATAATCTCTATGTTGTCTAAGAAGAGGACCTTTCCCTTTTTATTTTAGGGTCTGGTGGCTTTGAAGATGTAGCTGTTCATTTCACAGACGAGGAATGGGCGTTGCTGGATCCTGACCAGAAAGCTCTGCATAAGGAAGTCATGGAGGAGAATTGTGAGATCATGGACTCTCTCAGTAAGACTGCCTTTTGGATTACAATATCTCTTTTGAAATTCAGTATGGATCTCTATGAGATGAACCTCAAGTGTTTTAATGGAGCTAAACAACAACAGCCACAGCATCTGGGGTTCTGACAGCCTCACAGTGAACCGTGACTGGAGAGTTAGCTACTGTTTTGTCTGTGAATATTCTTCCTCCAGTTTTGCTTTTAAAAATCATGATCTGGCTGGTCTGAACTGCTTAGGTTTTGGAATTCAGGCTTTAGAGACGTTCGGGAAGTTGAAGTAGCTTCTGTTAGTTTTTGATTCACCAAAAAGATGACTGATGTTGGAATCATAGAATCCTAGTCATTGGGGCAAGGCCTGCTGAGCAGTGTTGCTGTGATCGTGAAGCCTGACACTTCTGAGCAGCCTGTTTCTTCTCATAAAGAGTTAACTTCACTTACTCGGTGTGATTTATTGCTGCCCCACTCCTGACACTCAGGTTCCCATAAATATGTTCATTAATGCCTGTCAACAAAAGCCGTGAAGCTTGTAGTAAGACCTTACATTTAATTCCCTTCAGTTCTTCCTCTGTCCCAAGGATTAATTAGCATTGTTCAATAATTGAGGGCTGCCTTTCTAACTAAAGCTGTGATCTGTTTCTCTCTTTGTTACAGATGGTGATGTTTCGGAAATGAAGAACAAGGGAGACCATGACAAAGTCTACACAACGGAGAAGCGATATACATATTTGGAGTGTATAGAGAGCTTAAGTCAGAGCTCCCATTCCACTCCCCTCCAAAGAAATCTCTTTAGGAAGAAATCCTATCAGTGCTTGGAATGTGAGAAGAGCTTCAGTCGGAAGGATAGTCTCACTCTTCATCTAAGAATTCATACGCAGGAGAAACCATATCAGTGCTTGGAATGTGGAAGGAGCTTCAGTCAGAGCACAGGTCTCAGGTCCCATCAAAGAATTCATACTGGAGAGAAACCATATCAGTGTTTGGAATGTGGAAAGAGGTTCAGTCAGAGGGTCCATCTCACATCCCATCAAACAACTCATACGGCAGAAAAGGCATTTCAGTGTTTGGAATGTGGAAAGAGCTTCACCCGGAAGGAAAATCTGACTTTCCATCAAAGAATTCATACAGGGGAAAAACCGTATAAGTGCTTGGAATGTGGAAGGAGCTTCAGTTGGAAGACTAGTCTGACTTTACATCAAAGGACTCATACAGGGGAGAAACCATATCAGTGCTTAGAATGTGGAAAGAGCTTCACTCAGAAGGAAATTCTTACTTCTCATCAAAGAACTCATAAAGGGGAGAAACCATATCAGTGCTTGGAATGTGGAAAAAGCTTCAGTCGGAAATCTTATCTCAGTTCCCATCAAATAACTCACAGTGAGGAGAAACCATATAAGTGCTTAGAATGTGGAAAGAGCTTCACTCAGGGTGTCAACCTTAAAGCGCATCAAATAATTCATACAGGGGAGACGCCATTTCAGTGTTTGGAATGTGGGAAGAGCTTCACCAAGAAATTAAATCTCACTTTCCATCAAAGAATTCATACAGGGGAGAAGCCATTTTCGTGCTTGGAATGTGGGAAGAGATTCAGTCAGAGAGCAGGTCTCTTGTCCCATCAAAGAATCCATACAGGTGAGAAGCCATTTCAGTGCTTGGAATGTGGAAAGAGCTTCAGTCACAGTGCTAGCCTTAAGAACCATCAAAGAGTTCATACAGGAGAGAAGCCATTTCAGTGCATAGAATGTGGAAAGAGCTTCACCATTAAATTATCTCTCACTTCCCATAAAAAAATTCATACAGGGGAGAAGCCATTTCAGTGCTTGGAATGTGGAAAGAGCTTCAGTCGGAACTCACATCTCAATTCCCATAAAAGAACTCATAGCAAGGAGAAACCTTATTCGTGCATGGAATGTGGAAAGAGCTTCACCCAGAAGGGAAGTCTCACTTCCCATGAAAGAACTCATACAGGGGACAAACCGTATCAGTGCTTTGAATGTAAAAAAATGTTCAGTCATAGCGCCAAGCTCTTAGTCCATCAAAGAATTCACATAGGGGACAAATGATACCAGTTATCGGAATGTGGAAAAAGCTTCAGTCAGAGTGCTGTCCTTAAGGTGCATCAAATAATACATACAGCGATTAAAAAAAAAAAGTGGGGAAAGCTTCACCCATAAAGTAACTCTCACTTCCCATCAAAGAATTCACACATTGGACAAAGCATATCAGTTCTCAAAATGTGAGAAGAGTTTCACCAAGAAGGAAAGTCTCACTTCCCATCGAAGAATTCATAAAGGGGAGAAACCGTATCAGTGCTTTGAATGTGGAAAAAGGTTCAGTCATAGTGCCACCCTCACAGTCCACCAAATGATTCTTAAAGGGAGAAACCATATCAGTGCTTTGAATGTGGAAGGAGCTTCAGTCAGAGAAATGTCAATATTACCTGCACAGTGGGAACTTATTTTAGAATCTATTGGACTCCACATAGAGGTCTGTATAAAAAGGATTTGCTAAGGTTGCATTATGCTGGAGAAGTGGTAAGGACAATGTCTCCCTGAAACATTGGTTTATAGTCTCTTGGGCTTGCCATTCAGAAGGCTGGTGGTTCAAATCCACTTGACAGCGGTGAGCACTTTTGCTCTGTCCCAGCTTCTGCCAACCTAGCTGTTTGAAAGCATACTGGTGCATGTAGATAAAGAGGTACCACTGCGGCGGGAAGGTAAAGGGCGTTTCTGTGTGCTCTGGCTTCCGTCATTGTGTTCCGTTGCTCCAGAAGCGGTTCAGTCATTCTGGCCACAAGACCCAGAAAAGCTGACTGCAGACAAAAGCCAGCTCCCTCAGCCTGAAGCGAGATGAGTGCCACACCCCATAGTTGTCTTTGACTGGACCTAACTGTCCAGGGGTCCTTTACCTACCTTTACCTTTTTATATACTTACAGTACTAGGTTTTGGGAGAAAATGCTGGTTTGTATAATTATGGCCGATCAGAAGAAACTAAAATTTGCAGCAGAGAATATTTTTGTGAACTAGATACCTACTATATGCAAGTTAACGGGACAACGAAAATGGTAGCTAAGTGACTGCTATTGATGAACTGGAAGAACAAAGACATGATCTCCTTTAATCAGTGGATTGAGAGCACTTGCAATTTATGGACAGATTGCTTACAGACGTAGACTCTGCTTGTAAATATGACAATATTTGGAACAAATTAACACAAAATGTAGTAGGCTAAAGATGTTTACATTAGTATTATGATAATAATATCATATTTATGGGTTAGGATATACATATAAGCCCCCCCTTTTTAAAAAACAACAACATAGAAAGTTGTTTCAGGGGTGGCCTGGAATTACCAATGGATGTGGCTCACTATTTGCTAACCTTAGGCTCCGCCCCTTGAATGCTCCACCTCGACACTTAAAACCTGTGCCTCCTCTAGGACAGTCGTCCCCAAAATGGGCGACACCCCCCTGAAGGGTTTTGTTCCTGGGGGGCACTAAGAGGCAATGGGTGGCAGTGTACACAGCTCCCAGACTTTGAAAAGCTGTTACCACTTGATCAGGTTCATTGGTTTTGTCATGAATTAATTAAACTATGTAGAGTGGTACATTGGGTTACATATGCTTCAGTTTACATACGCTTCAGGTTACAGACTCCGCTAACCCAGAAATAGTGTTTCAGGTTAAGAACTTTGCTTCAGGATGAGAACAGAAATCGTGCTCTGGCGGCGCGGAAGCAGCAGGAGGCCCCATTAGTTAAAGTGGTGCTTCAGGTTAAGAACGGACCTCCGGAATGAATTAAGTACTTAACCCGAGGTACCACTGTATATTTGATTGGATTTTGAATAAATGTGCAACCATTGCTGTTTAGAATTTTATTGTGCTTTTATCTTTCTTAGCGTATTGTGCAAACAGCTATTCTGAATAATGCTTTTATGTGGTAAGAGGCACTAGGCGTGTTGGGAGGGGACTGCGGCCCAAAAATGTTTGGGAACTGCAATCTAGGACCTGGGACTTCCGACCCTCAGGACATCTCCCCAGGGTCTCAACCCTCTAAGGCATCTGCAGACCAGTGGATGACAGTGGCAGAGGTGTCTTCCTGGGCTTCAAAGAAGGAGGTGCAGGGACTCGGGCTTCACCTGGGACGGGCCACAACTCGGAGGAAACCGCTTCCCCTCCCAGCTCCCCAATCTGATCTCCCTAACTTTAAGGCTGCATGGAGCCCCAACAGCACCCCCCCCCCGCTAGATCCCCATTTTTGTACAGTGCCCTCTCTTTTTAACTATCCAGTAAACTAGCTCACTCCCAGAAAAGACTAGATTCCCCTCTTTTTTGCAGCCCTTACTCTGCTTCCTTTGCCAAATTCCCCCCTCTGCCCCTCCTACCATCCTTTACATCTCCCAGGTCCAGAGGCACGGGCCACGATGTCTTCCCAGCCGATGGAGGGCGGGGGGGGGGGGGAGATCAGGCAGCAGGAAAAGGCTTCTCCGCTTGCTTGCATCCTTCCTTTCTGCTCAGCCCCCCCCCCAGACTCACGCGCACATCCCCACCTGACAAAGAAGAAGAAGAAGAAGAGTTTGGATTTGATATCGCGCCTTTCACTCCCTTTAAGGAGTCTCAAAGCGGCTCACATTCTCCTTTCCCTTCCTCCCCCACAACAAACACTCTAAGCATCGCAGCCAGGATCAGGCCCCAGAAGACTGGAAGGAAGGAAGGGGGTGGGAAGCACACAATTACATATTTCATAGAATCCTAGAGTTGGAAGAGACCACAAGGGCCATCGAGTCCAACCCCCTGCCAAGCAGGAAACACCATCAGAGCACTCCTGACATATGGTTGTCAAGCCTCTGCTTAAAGACCTCCAAAGTAGGAGACTCCACCACACTCCTGGGCAGCAAATTCCACTGTCGAACAGCTCTTACTGTCAGGAAGAGCTGTCAGGAAGAGAGGCACGCTGCCTTGAAGGGGCGGGACCCCCCCTACATCCACCCCCCTTCAGCCCCCCCACCCTTCAACTCGCCAGGCCCGCAGCCTTGCGGGGAAGGGCGACCCGTGAACGTGGCTCAGCTGCACGTGGGATCTGGTTCCTTCTTGTCTGCAAGCTTTTTCTGGCCAAGGGGGAGACCAGCTCAGATCCCCCAAAACACAGCATCTGGGGGGGGGCAGCAATGCGCGGGGCTCCTCCTCCTGCGCTCCGGCTCTGGAGGAAGAAAACGCAGAGAGAGAGGGCTGGGGATGAGCTGGGGGCGCTCGGCTTGCCAAGGGTTAAAAGGAACTGAGCCGAATTCCTAGAGAGGAGAGGACAGAAGGGGGGCGGGTCTTCCAGAACAAGAGCCCCTCCCTCCGAGTCACTTCCTGCAAGGGGGGGCGGGCGGTGGATGTTTGGTGTGTCTCCTTTGCAAGCTTCGCTGCCTGGGGGGCTCCTGCTGCAATCTGGTGAGTCTCCTCTCTCTTTCCTCCCTTTGGGGGAGAAGGGGGTCCCAGGGCTGCAGGGGGGCCGTGTTCAGATCATGCGCGCCCCCCAGGGTCCTGCGCCCCCTCCTTGCTCTCTGGCAAGCCGGGGGGGGCGGTTTTGCAGGAGGGCTGCAACCCTGTTCTTCCTTTACAGCAAACTGGCGGCTAACAGATTGAGTTTGAATCCTGACAAGACAGAAGTACTGTTTCTGGGGGACAGGGAGCGGGCTGGTGTGGGGGATTCCCTGGTCCTGAATGGGGTAACTGTGCCCCTGAAGCACCAGGTGCGCAGCCTGGGAGTCATTTTGGACTCGCAGCTGTCCATGGAGACGCAGGTCAATTCTGTGTCCAGGGCAGCTGTCTCCCAGCTTTATCTGGTACACAGGATGAGGCCCTACCTGCCTGCAGACTGTCTCGCCAGAGTGGTGCATGCTCTGGTTATCTCCCGCTTGGACTACTGCAATGCGATCTTCGTGGGGATACCTTTGAAGGTGACTCGGAAACTACAACTAATCCAGAATGCGGCAGATAGACTGGGGACTGGGAGAGGCTGCCGAGACCACATAACACCGGTTCTGAGAGATCTGCATTGGCTCCTAGTACATTTCCGAGCACAATTCAAAATGTTGGTGCTGACCTTCAAAGCCCTAAACGGCCTCGGTCCAGAATACCTGAAGGAGCGTCTCCACCCCCATCATTATACCAGGACACTGAGGGCCTTCTGGTGGTTCCCTCACTGCAAGAAGGCAAGTTACAGGGAAGCAGGCAGAGGGCCTTCTCGGTGGTGGCGCCCGCCCTGTGGAACGCCCTCCCACCGGATGTCAAAGAGAACAACAACTACCAGACTTTTAGAAGACATCTGAAGGCAGCCCTCTTTAGGGAAGCTTTTAATGTTTGATGTATTGCAGTATTTTAATATGTTGTTGGAAGCCGCCAAGAGTGGCTGTGGAAACCCAGCCAGATAGGCGGGGTACAAATAGATGATGATGATGATGATTATAGCAAAGGCTGCTCACCGCTTTGTGGGGAAGCCATGGCTTTCATCCCCCCAGACTTGAGTTTGCTGCAATAGCCGAGGAGTCTCCTGGGTGTCCAGAGCCCAGTCGAGTCCTGTGGAGTTTCAGTCCGTCAGGCTGGAGGATGCGGACTGAGTGCTGGGATCTGTCTGAGCCCCTCTGGGAGGATGAGCAAGAGCAGGGAGGGGGGGCTGGCTGGGCCAGGGAGGGGTCAGTGCCTCCCTGCAGGAGTGGGTGCTCCCTTCCTGCTGGGAGGAGGCGGGGTGAATCCGGAATGTGTCCTTTTTTTGAAAATGCATCTCTGGGTTATTTGTTTAATGTTTAATGCTGTATTGTGTTTTTAATATTTGGTTGGGAGCCTCCCAGAGGGGCTGGGGAAACCCAGCCAGATGGGTGGGGTGTAAATAATAAATTCCTATTATTATATTATACTCCTGTGAGAACTTTGAATTGGACCTGGAAATGAAGGGACCACCAATGCCGCTGTTTTAAAACAGGAATTAAATGTGTTCTCAGGGCTTGTAATGGGAGGGATTCAATGAGATGGGGTAAACCAATGGATGCTCCTTGGAGAAAAGGGAGGAAAGAAATGCCCTTGATAAAGAAAGGGAGCCCAGCCAACAATCTGGAGCAGATTCTGAACCATCCTCAAGAGCAGTTCCACTTAGAGGGCATTGCGATGATCTTATCTGATCCACAGCAGAGAGTTCCCTGTCATCTCTGCTCCAAGGGGACAGTGGTGGGCAAGCTGGCCGGAGCTGGAAAGGGGCACTTACCCAAAAAATTATTTACAATCATAGGAGGAATGTGAGCCCTTCTCACTTGTTTATAGTGCTATCCTTTGGCCCTCAGACCTAAGAAAAAGGGATTCCACCCCAGCAGTTTGTCTTGAGAACTTTGCACATTCCAAGTGGCTAGAAAATGGGACAGAAGCAGGAAGGAAGTGGTCACTGAACTGTGGGAGGGAGAGAGAGCAGCTCTTGAGGACCCCAGGGGGTTGGTGGGTTGGTTGGTTGGCATCCATTTGTCTCAGGAGAAAATGGGAGAGTGTGCCTTTGGGCGTGAGGTCAAACTGTTGGAAGGTTGCAGCAGCTGCAGAGGCTCTAGCCTAGTGTCAAAATAACACTTGTACAAATGACTCACTTGTCAATCACAGTTCTGACTTCTTTCATTGACTGAAAACACTGAAAGGCAGGAGCAACTAGGCTGATTCATTTGACAGACCTTCCTAATGTTTCCTGCACATTTTGCATAGTAACGTCTAGTAGGGCTGGACGCCGGCTTCTCCTTTTCCTTTTTTGAAAAAGAAAGTTCAGAGTCTGGGCTGTGTTGCAGTCCAGCCCTGGTTCCTAATAAGATTCCTGGAATCTTTTTCTTTTCTTGGCTGTGTATCAATTTCATAACAGAACAATGTATTTGCTTTGTAGGATTTGCAAAGCCCTCTACTTAGGACAGACAGAACTTGGTAGTAGGACCAAGACCTTTCTTCCGATCTCTTGGGGGATTCCACAGAGCCCAGATGGATGAGCCAGAATCCGCTGGCCCTGAAGCAGGAAGAGGCCATGCCATCCAAACTGGGAGCAGCGGTGGAATCTGGGGAAACTGTCTGCTGAAGATCCAGGGTGAGGAGAACACCTTCAGCTCAGTAGTGCAAAGACAAAATTTCAGGCAGTTCAGCTACCAGGAGGCCAAAGGACCCCGAGAGGTTTGCAGCCGACTCTACCACCTTGACTGTCAGTGGCTGAAGCCAGAAAGGCACACGAAAGCTGAGATGCTGGACCTGGTGATCTTGGAACAGTTCCTGGCTGTCCTTCCGCCAGAGATGGAGAGCTGGGTGAGGGAATGTGGAGCGGAGACCAGTTCCCAGGCGGTGGCCCTGGCCGAAGGATTCCTCCTGAGTCAGGCAGAGGAGAGGAAGCAGGCAGAGCAAGCAGGTGAGAGAGACTTTCCTCTAGGATACTCCCAAGGGGCTCTGAAAAGGAGGGAGAGTATCCCAAAATTCTCTCTTAATCCCCCAATCTTATTTGGAAAGCCTCCAAGGAATGAGATCAGGTACCCCTAAAGCTTTTGCCTCTCCCAGTCCTTTTCTAATGTTTCTCTCCATTCTCTGCTTCCAATCCCTTTTGCCCTTTCAGGGAAAGATTATCTTTGCAGAAACGGGCCTGGATTCCTCTGAGGCAGAGAAGACTCCATTGGAGACCAAAGAGAGACCACTGGGTAAGGAGGAAGGAGGGTTTTTCCCCATTTGGTCACACATTCTGTAGATTTTGCCACTAATCTGTGGGTTCCCCCCCAACATTTTGGGGAGGACACTAGGGGCCAAGAGCCTAAAGTGGGGAAATGTATTTTTACCTAGCTAAGATACAAATGTCAAAATGCACTCAGAAGGTGAGACTTTTTTACAGGCCCACCTGTAGTTAGAGATGCACTGCTTCACCTCTAAGAGAAGCATGTGAAAATGGCCTGCCACTTACCTTTGTCTCTCACAGGTGTCAGAATGATGCTGGCAAGAGATGCTTATCCATCTTTGCATGAAGGCAGAGAAGCAGCAGCTATGGAACCAGATCAGGTAGGGAGAATGAAGGATTGTGGCGAAAGAGTCCCTAATGAATCTCTCTCCTCCTTCTCTTGGCTGTAAAGGCCATTGCAGGAGCCTTATGTTCTGAGAATGGTGAACAATCACCTCACGTTGACTAGCCTCCTGAATGTTGCTAATACAGTGGTACCTCTGGTTACGTACTTAATTCGTTTTGGAGGTCCGTTCTTAACCTGAAACTGTTCTTAACCTGAAGCACCACTTTAGCTAATGGGGCCTCCTGCTGCCGCTGCACCGCCGGAGCACGGTTTCTGTTCTTATCCTGAAGCAAAGTTCTTAACCTGAAGCACTATTTCTGGGTTAGCGGAGTCTTTAACCTGAAGCGTTTGTAATACGAGGTACCACTATTATTTATCAGTAGTTGCAGTTTTATTTACAGATTTAACATTTAATGCTGAAATAGGCTTCTAAGCAGTTGACAAATCATAAAAACAGTGGCCAGAATTCACCTTTCCCCTCATTCCCCTCCCCGTGACCCGCCGTACCCCCTGAAGTTGACTTTAATGCATTGTGAAGGTTCCCCCCACCTCCAGAACAGTAGATGGGGAAAGCAAAGAGAGGATCCTTCCATCTGGGAAACTGGAATCGATGAGCAGAGAGAATTACCGTATTTTTCGCTCTATAACACACACCTGACCATAACACGCACGTAGTTTTTAGAGGAGGAAAACAAGAAAAAAAAATCTGAAAGAAATAGTGGATGTATCATTTTTGTGCTTCATGCTGTGGCCACAGACATGTGATTTGATGGTGTGTTTGGGGTAGCCCAATGCAAAAATCCTGAGAATCCATGTGGATCTGTGCTTTGTAACCACGGTTTTGCACCATTGCAGCCCCAGGCAACAGTGGGTGCGTGATTTTTTTGGTGCAGGCTGTAGCCATGGACATGCTATGTGATCTGATGGTGAATTTGGGCTGACCCAATGCAAAGATCCCGAGGATCCATGTGGATCCGTGCTTTGTAACCACATTTTAAGTGGGGAGGGAAGGAAAAACAGAAGGGACAAGGAGCACGAGAGGGGTGTGCGGAGAAGCAGCTGGCTAACAATGCAGGAGAGGGGCTTAACGGGAGGGAGGAAAGGAAGGCAAAAGTTCCCCCCTCCCAAGCCAGCCTTCCCCCCCTCTCCAACCTGCATGTTTTCCGGCTGCCTGCGAGTCCCTAGAATGCTGGACGCAGCACTGGAGCACGGAGAGGAGGAGGTGGTGGCTGTCGGCTGCGCTCCTAGCCGACGGAACCTGAGCCGGGTGGGCTGGAGCCTGCGCGCAGTGTGACTAGGAAGGAATTAGGAAGGACGCGATCCTTTCCTTTCCCCTCTGCTTGCCAGGAGGGCAGGGGATTTCCCTGCTCTTTGTTGCATTTGAGCAAACACAGCAACCGAAAACAGAAGCGGGTGGGCAGTAAGACCCTGAGGCAGAATGCAGGAAAGCAGCAGCTTCGCTTCTGCAGCCTTCCCTCCTCCGCGCGATCTGATTTTTGCCTGATTTTTGCCCCTGCACTCGGGCCAGTCGGCTCCAGGGACCACACATTCGCTCAATAACACGCACAGACATTTCCCCTTACTTTGTAGGAGAAAAAATGTGCGCGTTATAGAGAGAAAAATACGGTATTTGAAGATCACCATGTGGCATTCTATCCATTCCCTCAAAAGCTTAATACCAGTCATTAAAATACACACAAAAAAACAGTTTTGTTAAAACATTAAAATATGCATCCATAATAAAAATGTACAGCAAAACAATTACATTAAAACAAAACAGCAATGAACAGGCAGAAAACAACAGAGCAATGTGTAGTAGATAATCTGTACGTTGTCTAAGAAGGGGACCTTTCCCTTTTTATTTTAGGGTCTGGTGTGCTTTGAAGATGTAGCTGTTCATTTCACAGATGAGGAATGGGAGTTGCTGGATCCTGACCAAAGAGCTCTGTATAAGGAAGTAATGGAGGAGAATCGTGGGATCATGGATTCTCTTGGTAAGGCTGCTTTTTGGATTACAATATCTCTTTTGGAATTCTTTTTGAAATTCAGTCCCTGAGGCTGTGATCCGTTTCTTTTTTGTTGCAGATGGTGATGAATCAGAAAGGAAGAATGAGGGAGACCAAATCTACACAATGGAGAAGCGGTATCAATATTTGGAGCGTATAGAAAGCTTCAGAAGAATTCATACAGGGGAGAAACCATATCAGTGCTTGGAATGTGGAAAGAGGTTCATTCGGAAATCGTATCTCCGTTCCCATAAAAGAACTCACAGCGTGGAGAAACCCTATAAGTGCTTGGAATGTGGAAAGAGCTTCATTCGGAAATCGTATCTCCGTTCCCATAAAAGAACTCACAGCGTGGAGAAACCCTATAAGTGCTTGGAATGTGGAAAGAGCTTTGCCTGGAAGGTCAATCGAACAGCCCATGAAAGAATTCATACAGGGGAGAAACCATATCAGTGCTTGGAATGTGGAAAGAGCTTCATCCAGAAGATAAGTTTCACAGACCATCAAAGAATTCATACAGGGGAGAAACCATATCAGTGCTTGGAATGTGGAAAGAGCTTCAGTCGGAAGGATAATCTCAATCATCATCAAAGAATTCATACAGGGGAGAAACCATACCAGTGCTTGGAATGTGGAAAGAGCTTCATTCGGAAATCCTATCTCCGTTTCCATAAAAGAACTCACAGCGTGGAGAAACCCTATCAGTGCTTGGAATGTGGAAAGAGCTTCATTCGGAAGGATAATCTCACTCTTCATCAAAGAATTCATACAGGGGAGAAACCATATCAGTGCTTGGAATGTGGAAAGAGCTTCATCCAGAAGATAAGTCTCACAGTCCATCAAAGAACTCACAGCGTGGAGAAACCCTATAAGTGCTTGGAATGTGGAAAGAGCTTCAGTCAGAAGCATAATTTCACTCTTCATCAAAGAATTCATAGTGGAGAGAAACCATATCAGTGTTTGGAATGTGGAAGGAGCTTCACCCGGGAGGACAATCTGACTTCCCATCAAAGAATTCATACAGGGGAGAAATTATATCAGTGCTTGGAATGTGGAAAGAGGTTCAGTCAAAGCACCCATCTCAAAACCCATCAAAGAATTCATACAGGGGAGAAACCATATCAGTGTTTGGAATGTGGAAAGAGCTTCATCCAGAAAAGTAGTCTCACAGGCCATAAAATAATTCATACTGGAGAGAAACCATATCAGTGTTTGGAATGTGGAAAGAGCTTCATCCACAAAGGAAGTCTCACATCCCATCAAAAAACTCATACAGGGGAGAAACCATATCAGTGCTTGGAATGTGGAAAGAGCTTCATTCGGAAGCAAATTCTCACTTCCCATCAAAGAATTCATACAGGGGAAAAACCGTATCAGTGCTTGGAATGTGGAAAAAGCTTCAATCAGAAGAGCAGTCTCACTTCACATGAAAGAAGTCACAGCGAGAAGAAAGCATATCAGTGCATGGAATGTGGGAAGAGCTTTAGCCGGAAGGATTGTCTGGCTTCACATCAAAGAACTCATACAGGGGAGAAGCCCTTTGAGTGCTTGGAATGTGGGAAGAGCTTCATTCAAAGAGCAGGTCTCGTGTCCCATCAAAGAATCCATACAGGGGAGAAGCCCTTTGAGTGCTTGGAATGTGGGAAGAGCTTCACTCATAGAGCAGGTCTCATGCACCATCAAAGAATCCATACAGGGGAGAAGCTGTTTGAGTGCTTGGAATGTGGGAAGAGCTTCACTCGTCAAGCATCTCTTATGCGGCATCAAAGAATCCATACAGGGGAGAAGCCCTTTGAGTGCTTGGAATGTGGGAAGAGATTCAGTGAGAGAATTGTTCTCATGCGGCATCAAAGAATCCATACAGGGGAGAAGCCCTTTGAGTGCTTGGAATGTGGGAAGAGATTCGGTCAGAGAATTTGTCTCATGCGGCATCAAAGAATCCATACAGGGGAGAAGCCCTTTGAGTGCTTGGAATGTGGGAAGAGATTCAGTCAGAGAGCAGGTCTCATGCGGCATCAAAGAATCCATACAGGGGAGAAGCCATTTCAGTGCTTGTAATGTAGAAAGAGCTTCAGTCGGTACTCCCATCTCAGTTCGCATCAAAGAACTCACAGCAAGGACAAACCATATCAGTGCATGGAATGTGGAAAGAGCTTCGCTTGGAAGGAAAGTCTCACTCCCCATCAAAGAATTCATACAGGGGAGAAACCGTATGAGTGCTTTGAATGTAAAAAAAGGTTCAGTCAGAGCGCCCAGCTCTCCGTCCATCAAAGAATTCACACAGGGGACAAATGATACCAGTGCTCAGAATGTGGAAAGAGCTTCATTCGAAGCACCCATCTCACTTCCCAGCAAATAATTCATACAGCGGACCAGTCTTCCAGAACTGGAAGACTGGGGAAATATCATCAAAGGAACTGAAGGAGGTGAGGACAGGTGACCCTGTAGCCTTATGAGGCTTTGCCCTTGGGTGGGAAAAAATATTGCGCCCGGGAAAGGGAAAATGGGAGTCAACAGACACTCAAGGAATAGTTTCGGGGAAAAAGCTTTATTTCTACCATCCATGAACTGGTAGAAGGAGCAAGTGTGATAGTTCACAAAACAAGCATGAGTTCACAGCCATTTGCACAGAGTATATATTTCCCTTCCAGTTCCCTCCCCTTTCTCCTCATCCTCTTTTCTTGGGAGTTGGGGATCCTTAGCCTGTGCAAGGGGGGGAAGGACCTGTGTCCATCTGGGCAGGGGGAAAGGACCAGTGCCCTCACCCCTCGCCTGCTCCCAGATTTGGCAACCCTTGTGCAGCAACAGATGCAATTGGTGCGTAGGTTGGAGGGGGCCAAATTACTCCTTCCTCCTGGGACTGACAAGACTGGTGGGGTTTTTTTAACTTTTACTTGCTGCCATACTGAGCACAGTTTGGCTTGGGTAGTCACAGTTCTACTTTTCCTAAGCCATGGGGGACGGTCAGGCAACTTCACATAAGTGTTTGGAGTCTATTTTTCATCAGGTATTAAATCCTCAATCATCTACTTTCGTGGCGTCTTTCCAATTTGTTCAGGAAACATCGCAGGGGGTCGTGGGAGTTGTTTTACTGCTTTTTCTCCATGACCCTGGAACACTTGGACACTGGGACACTCAGAATGTGGAAAGAGCTTCATTCGAAGCGCCCATCTCACTTCCCAGCAAATTATTCATACAGCGGACCAGTCTTCCAGAACTGGAAGATTGGGGAATTATCATCAAAGGAACTGAAGGAGGTGAGGACAGGTGACCCCACCAAGGCCCGAAGTCAACCCCCCCTCAATAATCACCCCAGGCGTCAAAACTGTCCAAAATTCCTTTTGTCTTCAAAAAAAAATCCAAAACAGCTTTTCTCTGCTTCTCTGCTTTTCTCACAAGATGCATAGGAAAAATGTTATTCTTTTATCGGTACGAGAAGGCTTCAAAAAGCTAATGAATAGGCTCTGTCATTGCCAAGAATACTCAAGCCTGAGAACTGACTTTTATCTCATTCAGCTGCAGCATCTTTGGACATGCTGAACCGCTCTCATTCCCCTTTCCTGGGAAGGGTGCCAAGAGTCCAAAATAGTCCCGAGACAGGAACTTTCTGTTCATGCTAAGGAGACACATGGGGCAGAAACTTTTCAGAAGGAGGAGAAAGGGGAGGGAACTTGTTGCAGCCCAGAATAGGATCAGCTTTTTTGGCTGCTGCTGCTGCTACATTGCACTGCTGAAGAGGAGAAGTGAGAGTGGAAGAATGAAAAGTCTTGAGTGGTACATGGGTGTTCTATCCAAGGGAAACTGACCACCGCACCAGCCGCAGAACTTCCTTAGTGCTCAGGTCCCCAGCTGTCAGGAAGGGAAGGCAGGATCAGCACCAGGGAGAGGATCGGAGGAGTGTGCTTCAAGGCCACAGCTAGAAAGCCAGCAGCAGAGGGAGAACATGCATCTTGTCTTGTGTGAAAAGAACTCAAGTAAAAGCCTCACTATTTTGGAATCTTAACTCTCATGGATAGTAATGGGGTTACCAATTCTCCTACTCGGGCTCAAGCAACTAAGTTTATGGAGGATTTTTTCCAAGAGCTTTGGACACTTTGGGAAGGACTCTAGCAAATTCATCAGGTAATAGCCAGTCAAGGGTGACCAGACCGGCTTTATAAAAGTGAGACAAACTGCAGATAATATTAGATTAGTGGTGGATTTGGTAGATCAAAATAAAGATAAAGACCAGTTTGTAATTATATCGCTAGATGCTGAAAAGGCTTTTGACAAAATCCGTAAACAGTACATGGAAGCAGCTTTACTTAAATTTGAATTTCCTTTGGATATTTTAAAAGGGATTAAAGTAATCTATGAAGCACCTACGTCAAGAGTCAAAGAGAATGGTAATCTCTCTGCCACCTTTCCTCAGGCCTGAGGAACCAAACAAGGATGTCCTATATCGCCATTGCTTTTTAATATCTGCTTAGAACGCTTGGCTTTCACCATGAGACAACACTGAGTTTCACAGAGTAGTTCACCATACATTTGAATATAAACTAGTTTTATTGCTTATTTCAAATGATAGATGCTTTTGGTACAATATCAGGTTATTCTATTCTATTATTCTGTTAATTGGTCCAATCGGAATTGATGCCAGTAGGCCAAAATCTGATTGCACATTCCTTCAAGGAATATCAATTCCAGATTTGTTCCAAATCTCTACAATATCTAGGCAGCTTAATACCAAGAGATAAAAAAAGAAGTCAAACTTAATATAAATAAAATAATAAAAGAGATTTCTTCATATACAGTGGTGCCTCGCAAGACGAAATTAATTCGTTCCGCGAGTTTTGTCGTCTTGTGATTTTTTTCGTATTGCGAAGTACGGTGTCGGGAAAGTTTTGGAAAAGCTTCAAAAATCACCAAAGTCTTCAAAAACCTCAAAAAAGGCTACCACACCGCGTTCTATGAGTTGCTCCTCGAAGTCAAGTCGCAACTGTATTAACGGTGTTAAGAAAAAGGAAACAAACTTGCAAGATGTTTCCGTCTTGCGAAGCAAGCCCATAGGGAAAATCGTCTTGCGAAGCAGCTCAAAAAACAAAAAACCCTTTTGTCTAGCGAGTTTTTTGTCTTGCGAGGCATTCGTCTTGCGAGGTACCACTGTATTGATATACAGAAGTCATTGAGCCTTACCCTTTGGAGAAGGCGGAATGTTCTCAAAATGAATATAGTTCCCAGATTAATTTATATTTTGAGAGGACTTGCAGTTTCTATATTTCATGTTTTCAAATGATAAACTCCCTGTTTAGGAAATGCCTTTATATTTATCTACATTATACATATCTACTGTTATGTATTAAATACTGGAAACTCATTGTTGGTCTTAATTTTCCGATGTGGGTGACCTTAGAATATGCACATACAGCGCCTTTGGTGGGCTGGAGAATACAGTCATACCTCGGGTTAAATGTGCTTCAGGTTGAGCGCTTTTGGGTTGCGCTCCGCAGCAACCCGGAAGTAACGGAACTTCCAGGTTTTGCCGTTCGCGCATGTGCAGACGGTCAAAATGACGTCACGTGCATGCGCGGAAGTGGCGAGTCACGACCTGCGCATGTGCAGGTTGCGTTCGCTTCTGGATGTGAACGGGGCTCTGGAATGGATCCTGTTCGTATCCAGAGGTACCACTGTACTAGGATCAAATATTTGAAATCCCAGGTGACTCTAGAAAGAACTAAGTCAGTTTAAAAGATATGGAACATATTGAAAGGGACACGACAAGGCTGCCCAATTTCCCCTCTGCTTTTTATTTCAGTCCTGGAGGTTTTGCTGAACATGATTAGAAGGGACCAACAGATTCAGGGTATACAGGTCGGAGTTAAACAGTATAAACTTAAAGCATATGCAGATGACCTAGTACTGACATTACAGGAGCCAATTCCCAGTACTAAAAGAGCTTTGGAAATAATACAAGAATTTGGTCAGGTGGCAGGTTTTAAATTGAATAAATCGAAAACTATGGTTTTGGAGAAGAATTTAACATCGACTGAGAAGGAAAGGTTTCAGGGGGAAACAGGTTTATCATTGGTGAAAAAAGTGAAATACCTAGGGGTGAATATGACTTCAAAAAATGTTAATCTATTTAAAGATAATTATGAGAAGTGTTGGTCAGAAGTGAAAAAAGATCTTGAAATTTGGACAAACTTGAAGCTTTCCTTATTGGGTAGAATTGCGGTTATCAAAATGAATGTATTGCCAAGAATGTTATTTTTGTTTCAGACGTTACAAATCATTGACAAGATGGACTGTTTCAAGAAGTGGCAAAAAGAAATTTCGAGATTTGTCTGGCAGGGCAAAAAGCCCAGAATAAAATACAAAATCCTTACTGATACTAAGAATAGAGGGGGGTTTGCCCTGCCGGACTTTAAGTTATATTATGAAGCAGCAGCTTTTTGCTGGCTGAAGGAATGGCTACTTCTTGAGAACACTGACATTTTAGATTTAGAGGGTTTTAACAATGCTTTTGGGTGGCATGCATATTTGTGGTATGATAAGGTTAAAGCTCATAAAGGTTTTAAAAAATCATATTGTCAGGAAAGCACTATTTAATGTCTGGACTAGGTACAAAGATTTGTTGGAAAGTAAGACTCCTAGGTGGTTGTCGCCAATGGAGGCTAAAGCTGTGAAAAAGCTTAATATGGAATCTAAATGGCCGAGATATTCGGAAATTTTGGAACAAGAAAGGGACAGGTGGAAATTGCAGAGTTATGAGAAACTTAAGAATAAGGTGCAGGATTGGTTACATTACTTTCAAGTAAGAGAGGCCTATAATTTGGACAGGAAAAATGGCTTCCAGGTGGAAAAATCAAAGTTGGAAACAGAACTGTTAGAATCCAATGCTAAGATATTGTCGAGAATGTATGATTTGCTGTTGAAATGGAATACTGAAGATGAAACGGTTAAATCGGCTATGATAAAATGGGCACAAGACATTGGTCATAATATTATGTTTGCTGACTGGGAACGGTTGTGGACCACCGGTATGAAATTTACGGCATGTAATGCCTTAAGAGAAAATATTATGAAAATGATTTACAGGTGGTACATGACACCAGTCAAGCTTGCAAAGATTTATCATCTGCCTGACAATAAGTGTTGGAAATGTAAAGAAACTGAAGGAACATTCTTTCACCTTTGGTGGACGTGCCCAAGGATTAAGGCGTTCTGGGAAATGATCTATAATGAACTGAAAAAGGAC